CCTCTTTCCCTCCAGCCCTCCCTCTCTCCCTTCCTTCCCTCCTCCCTGCATTCAGTGAATATTAATAGAGATCTTACAATGTGCCAGGCTTAGCTCTGGGAACTGGGAAGGTACTGGTGATCAAAACAAATAGGTACTGGTGACCAACCTCTGCTCTCATGAGGATTGTTCTGGAAGCAATGGAGATGGAAAATAAACAGAATTAAAAAAAAAAACAGCATATAACAGATGGTAGTGAGTATTATGAAGAAAAATAAAGCCAAGAAAGGGGATTCATATTCTGTAGGCAATAGGGAATGAGAGGTTAGGGAGGTGATTTAAAATACAGTGGGGTGACAATGTGATTTCACCCAAAGAAGGTGAGGGGTGAACAAATTAGATGTCTGGGAGTAAGTGAGAAGGCAGAGGAGCAGCTTGGGCAGAGACTCAGCTGGGAGATGGTGCTGGTGTATTGCAGACCAGTGGGGCTAGTGCAGAGTGGACCAGGGAGAGAGAGAGGATGTAGGGACAGGGGGGCCCTGCTGGGGTAAGGCTGGGGGTCAGTATTACTTCATGTGAGGGTTTGAAGACATTTGTGAAGACCTTGGCTTTTAATTGGAGTGAGATGGGAAGTCATTGGAGGGTTCTGATGTAGCTCACTCTGGCTGCCATCTAGGGACTATGGCAAGATCAGGGTGTTTATAGGGAATTCAGTCAGATGTCCCTCCAGGGATAATCCAGGGAAGACATGACTGGCTCACAGCATGAAGTGTGATATTAGCAGTGTTGGTGGTGACAAGGAGTCAGGTTTCTGTGTTAGAGTCCCCGGATTTGCTGGTGGATTGAATGTGCTTCAAGGATAATTCTAAGGATAATTTCTTTTGGCCTAAGCAAAAGGAAGCCCGGGATTATCATTAACTGAGAAAGAAAGAAACTGGACTGGGGAGAATCTGTTGTTTTGGGATTAGGTTCAAATCTCATGTGATTCTATTCAAGAATAATTAAATTCTGGAGGAAAAAGGAAAGTGTAAAAATTAGCTTTTAGAAGGTTGTATAATAAGGGTGACATTGAGCTGTCCATTAAGTGTGGTGTAGAAAACACTTTAAAGCCGAGTCTGATAAACCTTAGGCTTTTTTTTTTTAAACTTCTCTCTGATCAAAGATGGACAAAGATATGAGGAACATGAACAAAGAGCAACACAGGCGAAATTCAGTCACAAGCATCATATATTTTCATTATGAATTAGGGTAATCAAACTTGTAGTTTTGCAAAATTATTATTTTTCATAATGGCTACTTTTGTACTCATTATTGTGATTGAGTATTACATACAATGAGTATTTGGTTCTAAGAAGCTAAAAAGAACTGCTGATGAAAAGAATGTGTACATGCTTGTTGAGCTGCTTAATAAATAACTATTTGATGATTATTCTGCAGTATGTTTAAAGGATAATTCTTCTTCTGTTGCTTTAGAGAGCTCATTTGGCATTCTAAAAATGGATGTAATTTCAAGGGGTGGCCAAAATGTATCAATTAGCCTGACATCTAGGTCTTTTTAACAGATCTATAAATTTCCAATTTCCTTTGCTATCTTAACCATGGTAAATCATCCTGAACAAGATCATTCTTTTGAACAACAGCCTCCTTATTAGCTGAGATCAATTGAGATTAGAAAATGAAAAATACACTAGATGCTGAGAACTCTTTATGAAATCACATTTGTAGGATGAGTATTGAATGAAGATTAATGTGTTATTTTCAGCTTCTAAATCATTGATTTAAAAATTTATTTTCTACATCCTGCTGCTGGATTAAACACTAATACATATCTGGATGGTTTACTTGCTTGCAAGTATTATCTTTTCCCCATTGAATTTATGTATTAATGGAAGGGAATGATTTTTAATTTAAACGTGTCTTGCTTTGCATACCACATGTTTCTGAAAGTGCTACACATTAAATTGGGTAAATTACTTTTTCCGCTGAATTTACAGATTAATAACCAGATTCTTTATTTTACCTTCTGATTGACTTTCAGTTGCTCTTCTGATAAAATATGGGTCCTTAGCACATGGTGTGGACCCTCTGTGATCAGGATGCTACCTTTGAAGGCAATCTTTCCACATTCCGCTCTTCTGTCTCCAAACCCCACTTATACTGGCTTTCCTTCAAATGTTAATACTACAGACTTGAGATATTTGTATGTATTATTTATAATTTTAATTCTCAAATAGTCCCCATTTTCCCCCAAAGAGCACATTTGGTACATTATTTTCTTATTTAATTAATTGTCTGTCTCCCCTTATCTAGAACACAGGCAACAAAAATCCATGGATTTTTGTCTAATTGCTACTGAATCTCCCCATCAACTGTTTTGGCTATAGAAAATGCACTAAGGAAAAGATGATAAATGAAAGAAGGAAGGAAGAAAGAAAGGAATGAGTGATTTCTTATACTAGAACACTGATTTCCCTTCTGAAAACTTATGGAAATTGTATTTATTACTCAAATTCTAGCTTAAGTGTCACTTTTTCAGACCATTTTTCTTTGATCCCAAGACAAGACCAGTTTCCTCTATTATTTACTCTTATAGTTGCTGTCCTCTATAGAACTTTTTATAAAATTAACTTATAAAGCTCATTATTTGTGAGATCATTTGTTCAACTTTTGACTTCTCCGCTAAGGTATAAACTTTCTTGGAACAAAAAAAAAATGGTTCTTATTCTTAATAATATGACACAATACCACTAGCACAATTCCTTGGACATAGAGATATTCAATAAATATCTGAAGAATGAGAACATAGGTAAGTGGATAATTATGTAGCTCCCCTTATAACTTTCAGTCCCTCTGTTCCACTTGTTCAATATTCTTCTGACAAAAAAGTAGAATGGTGAACTACAAAAAAATTGGTAAACTGGACAGTTCCTATGTAAATGTAGCCCTCTGTGAATTCATTAATACATGTAGGAGTCTTTAAGTTGGATGCTTTTTCATAACCTCTTCACATCATATCATTTAATCAAACAACTACATAATGAATTTCTTTTATGTATCAACTCAGGGAAAGAAGGCCATATAAATCGTGACAACACCATAAGTTTTAAAACAGAAAGCTCTCTTCACTCTTATGTGTGACCAATTGAGCCTTAGGTACTTCCTTTGTCAAACATAAAAGGGAATATTTATCTTGTGAGGTTATATAGGGGTTATTGATAATGCATGTAGCATTCTTGCCACACAATGGCAGTCAAAAGATGGCAGCTACTACTATGATAGCTAGACAGTAAGCTCCCAGAGAGTGAACTATACCTGCATTCTCAGTCTCTCATATGTAGATTATACTCAAGCAACTCAGGAGGCTGAGGCAGAAGGATATCATGTTCAAGGCCAGCCTCATCAGCTTAAGGAGACCCTGTCTCAAAATTTAAAAACTAAAATTAAAAAAATAAGCTGGAAATGAAGCTTGTCAGTGATACAGTGCCTCTGGGCTCAGTCCTCAGTACCAAAAGAGGAAGAGGAGAAAGGAAGGAATAAAGGAAGAATATACTCATAAAGTTTGGGCCAACAAGTCATTAATGGGAAACATAATAGGATATGTATACTACTCAATTTTTAAGGGGCTTAAAATCTAATTAAGAAAGCAAGTTTAAAACATTTATGAATTTTTTTGTAGCTGGCTGCAGTTACTGGGAAATGGTAAGCTCGTTTGTGTGTGTGTGTGTGTGTGTGTGTGTGTGTGTGTGTGTTGTATGTGTATATGATGTATATTGGTAGTTTCCTATGAAAATGTTTAATTGTTTTAGCAAAATTTGATGCTAGCTATTCCAATGTTGGATAAAATGGAATAATTTGCTTCTTCTGTGTTAATATGATGGCAGACAAAATTAGGATCTTGATCTTGGGTATCAAGGTGAATTTGTTAGAATAATGGATGCTGTTTTCCCCTTTAGCAGTGGTTTGCTAACAGTTACAAATAGGTTCTGATGATGTTCCCTAATGTTGCTCAAATAGGGTTGCATTATGCAGTGAACCTTGCTAATCTTTGAAAACTGGAACATAGACAAAATTTCACATGCCACTTCTTTGTAGCATACTCAACACAGGTTTTTGATTGCATTGTATCATCCATAATCATTACATATATTTTTTCATTTTACCAAAGTCTTTGCTTGCAGCTCTAATAGATGGGACAAAGATAATGAGCATGACCTAAATAACGTATCTTTTCTATAGGTCGTTTTCTACTTTTTGTTACTTAAGTGTTTATGTAAAGGCATTTGACAAAATTCAAACAGAAGGGAAGCTCCATTTAAGGTTATTGATATACTGCCAATCACACAGAAAGCTTCAGATTTTTAATTATAGACGTCAATGCAACCATTAAACACACTGAGAAGTCCTGACTTTGGAAAACAAGTAGCCACCACCTCTCACTTGAAATTATGGAAAAATAATTTAGATACACTCATGCTAACTGGCTGCCGCTTAGCCACATACCAACCTACCTGGACTACATAAATGCTGACCAGCCAATCAGAGCAGCTGCTCTTAACTTGCCCACACACCTTCAAGATAGGGGCAGGCAAATGTCCCGGAAGCCACACACCTCTACCTACAGGACACACACTTATTCACAAGAATGGAGACCTGAGCGCGCGCGCGCGCGTACACACACAAGTACACACACACACACACACACACACACATACATTCACATACACACACACACACACACACACACACACACACACACACACACTATCTTATATTCCACGTAGGCAGAGCGCACTTGTTATATCCGCGATCAGGTACCGCACAAGCCCCCAGGAGCCATTCGCATCCCTGGGTGCGTCCCCAGCGTGGATCAGGCAGCAACTTTGGCGCAGTCTTCCTGCCCCTTTCAACTTTTCTCTGCTCTCCCACAACTCCCAGAGGGCGGGTGGCGCCGGCTGGCCGCCTCGGAATGGGGTGCCCTCCCCTCCCGGTAGCGCTGAGGGGCGGGCCCGAGCAGGCAGCCAGGAAATGCCCAGGAGTGTGTGTCACCTGCGCCCGCAACTTGTTGATTCCCGGGAGCGTCGTCTGCTGGGTCTGGACTTTCTCGCCCCCTTGTCCCCTGGGCGCAGCCCTGGGGAGATACGGAGACGCCCCGGAGACGCCCCGGCACAGCACTATCCCGCAACTCCACAGCCATGAGCAAGTTGGGCAAGTTCTTTAAAGGGGGAGGCTCCTCTAAGACCCGGGCTGCTCCCAGCCCCCAGGAAGCCCTGGCCCGACTTCGGGAGACTGAGGAGATGCTGGGCAAGAAACAAGAGTACCTGGAGAACCGAATCCAGAGAGAACTGTCCCTGGCCAAGAAGCACGGCACGCAGAATAAGCGAGGTAGGCTGGGGTCGCGCCCCCAGGCCGCAGCTCTCCCACCTACCTCTGGCCCCTCCTTCCCTTGGGGACCTTGGGGAGCAGAGCACCCTGGTCCCCCAGGCGGCAGGGTTTGCTTTACAGCCTTTCTAGGAACTGATGCTGGACCCTAGGGCCCGGTGATGAGGGTAAGCTGAGCAAGGTACTTACCTGTATGGCAAAATGTAAGAGAGCTTCCAAAATCTCGAAATGAGCAATGCTGTTATGCCATATTTAAAAGACTCAAATTAATAATAATAAAAAAAGAATCCATGAAGGACCCCAAATCAAGTGTTCAAATCAAGTCATGATAGATATTATTGATTCTTTTTCTCTGGTATCTGGTATGTTATTCTATATGGCACTTCTTTATTTAAAATTCTTTTTTTCATGGGATATTTTGTTTATTATGAATTTTTGTATTGATTTTGAGTTTTAGTACATATTGCAGTAAATGTTATTTATCTTGAATACTGAATTTTCTGACACTCCCTTCAATTTTGCTTCTGGCTTTCCTTTCTCTAGTCCAGCCCTCTCACTCCAGTACTGCACAATTAAGTTTTCTGCTGTATGTTTGTGTACCAACACAAATCACGCATAAATCTCCAGTGAAGCATATTCTAGTTTGTTCTGGCTTACTTTGCTCCTCAGACTTTGAAAACTTTGGCTGGCTGTTGAGTAGTTGAGATCTTTAAAAAAAAAAGTTGAGGAATTAAATATTAAATTTCCTATCACTGGCTTTTACCACACACAAGGGACTTTGAGTCAGTAATGATTCTTGGTTCTCCTGTTGCACCTTGAACTCTTTGTTCTTTGCCAGAGTTAATTGGTTTCTACAGTATATGGCTTTCTCTCTAGGATTAGATCCAAATGGTACCCATGGCACATATAAAAACCCAATGAGAAGATGAAGTGGTTTGCTCTTATAATATCAGGCAGACACAGAAATAGAAGTGATAGAACTGGACTTTGCTTACCTCCAAACCCTAAACATCTGCATCCTCAAGTTGGGCTTCTTTAGTCATGAAGAAGCCCTGGGAAGATTGAGCTCACCCTAATGATGCTGCCATTGTTTAAGGCAGGAAAGGAATGGTGTCTCATGGAGTTGAACTTGACAGCCTGCTTCTTCTTGTAAATGTAGGCATGATACTTTTATGGCCAGTTATTACTGGCAATGAAAAGGTCAAGTTTCATTTTTCTCTTCTATTGCATATATCTTTTAGTCATATTAAAGCTTGTTTTAGAGCTAAATAGTGGTTTCTATTTTTACTTTATGTCAGAAAATATTTTAGGAAGTTATTAAATGGCAGTTTCTAAACTGAGACCATATCATTATGGGTTGCTAAAATATCACTGGTCAAAAATGTCACTGGTCAATCTGTTACTCCTCCCTTTTTCCTCAGTTTGATATGTACTCTGACATTTGCTTAGTGCCTGTCAAGGCATCTTTCGACTTTGTCATCTATTTGGATTTGTGTGTAGTTTTGTCTGCTGTGGTTGCTTAGTAAATATTGGTTTAAAATGATCAGAAAAACTGAATATCTCCTTTACGGAACTGGTAAACATGTAGGTTTGCTTTCAGAGAATCACATGTAAAATAATATGTGTTTTATTACTTCTTTTTCCCCCCCCAGAAATGTCCTCCAATTGGCAATGCACCAAAGTGTGTCAAAAGCTAACTTTGTAAACACAAAGAAAATTAAAGACATTGTTAAGAGCCCCAGTCTAACTTCCTTGAATCAGGGAAATTACAGATGCAAGTGTAAAGAACAAGTCACCAATTGCTGTTAAGAAATTCATCCATTCTTTGCCATTTGTACTTGGAAACTTCACAGGTGTTATCCCAGGCCTGGTTCTGCAGTAGCCCTTGCAAGTAAGCAGCAGAGGCTGATTAGCATCAGGCCATCTATTGTATAAACTATGGAAAGAATTCAGTCACAGCCCTGTGCATTAGAAATGCTCTTAATATCAATATCTTCAAAATGTACAAGATAAAACCAAATGCTGAATGTTTTCTTTGATATAAGGAGGCTTATTCATAGTGGGATTGGGAGAGGGAGCATGGGAGAAATAGATGAACTCTAGATGGGTCAGAAGGGTTGGAAGGGAAGGAAGAGGACTGGGGTTATAAATGATGGTGGAATGTGATGATCATTATTATCCAAAGTACATGTATGAAGACATGAATTGGTGTGAATATATTTAGTATACAACCAGAGATGAAAAATTGTGCTCTATATGTGTAATAAGAATGTAATGTATTCTACTGTCATATAAAAAAGAAAAAATGTACAAGATAACTTCATATACATCTAATTACCTCTGTTAGACACTATTGTCACACTCATAGTAACTTAAAACTCTGTATACTCAGTACTAAATGGTCCCCATGCTGCTTTATGTCATTGTTAGAATGGCTGTAATTTACATTGTAACCAGAGTGAGATAGTGAATGTGCAGTTAAAGCTTTGCTTCTAGACTTGGTTGGTCAACTAACACCCTGCCAAGTTTACAGCTAGCATTGCATTGAAAACTAAAAGTTCTTCAATGAACTGTTTCTGTACAACAGAAGCCTTGACAACAATCTAAATGCCCACAAGGAGTTTTACTGGAAAAACAAGTAACTTCTAAGTTAGCAAGTGTTAGAAGTGGAATCTCATTGGTGAAATTGTAGATTGGCTAAGGTAGATTTAGAGACACTTCCTTGTCCCCCATGTCCGAACTTGTGAGAAGAATCTACTAGGTACATTACTACTTAAAACCAGGTGGTATCTGAAGTTTGATCTCAAATCAGTGTGGCATCCTGTCATTGGTTCTGGTGGATTTCTGATTTGAGTGCATCTCCCATAGGGCACAGCACCTTCCAGGAAATGTCACTGTCAGCCTCAGTGAGCCTTTCAAACAACGTGTGTTGGAGCATCTGAAGGACATAGAGTCGGGAATTCATTGAGCTTTGAAACAGATTGACAAACTGTTTATGTTTGCTTACCAGTGCATGCTTATTTAATAATGTATTTGCAGAATTTAGTCAGAATCTTGTTTGCATGATCACTTGTAGAGAGGCAGTGCAGAAATATCTAATTCTCCTCATCTTAAACTTCTTTTGAGGTTACCGTAAATATCTATCAAAAAGAATCTAAGTATGCATAACCAAATTGACTTTGTGATAACCATAATATCATGATATTCAATATTGATATTGGAGGCTAGGGATATAGCTCAGTTGGTAGAGTGCTTGTCTCACATACACAAAGTCCTGGGTTCAATCCCCAGCACCCTCCCCTCCCCTGACACACAAAAAGGTTCTGTTGGTCCAAAGGAGTATCACTTAGAGTTGGGTAATGTGGTGCATGTCTCTAACCCAGCAACTTGGAAGCTGAGGCAAGAGAACTGTAAGTTCAAAGGTTAACCTCAGCATCTTAGCAAGACCCTATCTCAAAATAAAAAATAAAAAGGGCTGAGAATATAGCGTAGTGGTAAACTGTCCTTGAGTTCAATTCTCAGTACCAAAACAAGTGAAGAATAACAATTGGAGCAAGATTCATAATTTAATTTTTTAGTTCTTCAGATTACTATCACATAACACCTGCTTTTACAGTTAGTGCTCTTTTTTATACAAAATACAACTTACACATGGCTTAATTTTTTTCCCCCTTTCTGAACTCTGTCACCTACAGCAGTTTTTAGTCTTGGCTGCATAATAAAGTCCCTTGGATGCCTGGAGTCCGCTCCTGTAGATTCTGATATAACTCTCAGGAATGGGTTTAGGCATCAGACTTTAAAGAAGTGCTTCCAGCTGATTCTGCCCTGTTGCCAGGCTTCAGTATCAGAACTCCAAATCCATAGTAATGTGAATGAGATAGAAAAAACAGGTCTTTTACTCTCCCAGTGCTTCCTGACCCCTCTCACATCATGCCCCCATGGCAATGATTATTTATACGCCTCACTGGGATATGGCAAGTCACCTGGAATTTCCATGCCCCAGGCTGGTGGGCCTCCAGAGTGTCAATTATCTTAGCCCACTGCAAACCTCTGCTGCCACATTGGTTTGGCAACATACCTTAGAGGTTACTCTTCTAATTCCTTTTTGAGGTCTTTTTTTTTATAACATCCCTGACAGATGGCCGTAGGGATTTTGCTCAAGTGCAATTTCATGATTTAATTTTTATAATTTAATATAAAAGAACTTGGTGTCATAGTTAAGAACCTAGCCAGGCCTGGGCTTGATTTCTAGCCCTGTCTGTCACTTATCAACTCTGTGACCTTAAATCTGACACTTGGAACCTCTCTCATTTTCCATTTTTTCATCTACATAATGTAGTGATAACAGATACTTAGAGTTTTGAGGATGAATGACATTTCTGTGTAAAGCACTTGGTATACTGCTCTATAAATATCTGCCTTGGTATAGCATAGTAGCATTTTTTTTTTTTTGAAGCTGAAGTCAGCCCATTTACCGGCCCAGATTTTTGTCTCCTTGAATAATGTTGAACCGATGTACTGTATCTCTTTTGTGGGACAACAATCTTTTCTCTGAGAGTCCTTTCCCTCATTCTCCTTATTTTTATTCCCTTAGCAAACCTCCTTTACTCTGCTGAGGTTTGTCCCCCAGGGCCCAGTTTACAGTGCAGCAGGTGAGACACCCAGGACAAACCTGTGTGACCTGGGTGAGTGCCGCCTAGCATTTTGCACCTTACCTGCTCCTTCTCTTCTCACCCTAGTCATGGCCCTGATGCTTGTCTTGTTGAGGGCTGAGCAACAACTCCAGATATGTAATTAAATGAAAGAAGTGAATTCAATTTGTGGCTCTCTGTAGGCTTCAGCTTGCTGATCTCATAGGTTAATAGAAAGAAAAAGCTAAGACAGACAGGAATAAATTTGTCCCAAAGCTCTCCTTGGTAATATTACATATGATTCAGGGGAATATCTGGTGCTGAGGCTGCTCCCCCAGTTCGTCAGGTTGTATGGTGAAGTGAGTCGGTCGC